CGCCAATGTATGTACATTTGCTTAAATTAACACTTAATACCAATGAATGTAAATTTGCATAAATTAACATTTACCAATATATGTAAATTTGCGTTAATTATCCCTTGTCAAAGCATTTATATTTGCATAAACACTTACCAAGCATGTCGATTTGCTAAAAATTAACACCAATATACATCAATTTGTATTAACTACATGTATTACCAAACTCTTAATTTTCGCTAAAGGAATAAACCAGTGAATACACCTTTTTTTTATATTTTACATTCAACTCGTCCAAAATCGGTAAAAATAAATTCCATACAAAAACCGAAAATGTCTTTACAGCGAAAATTAATTCCAGCTTAAACCATTTTACAGTACCTAATTATTAGCATTATTATTTGTGTTGTACATTTCAGATGTGTGCCCTAATTGCATGCATGTGGTTGCTGAGCATAGCTATAGTTTCAGTGTAGACGGTGAATTCCAGGTAGGTTTATCCAGAGATGTTTATGGCTTGATTTTATTATTTGTAAGCTTCTTGAAGCTATCACTGGTACCGGTAATACATTTTTTTTTAGAGTAAATCCAGTATCATATAGATACCCACGATGCATCAGTGCCCAAGTACTGGGGAAACCCCATCTGCCATTTGTAAGTTTCCAATCTTACCGGCAATGATTCTTAGGAAAATTAGTTTCAGTAGTGAAAAATAAAGGGGAGTTTTGATTAAATATTATATCCAAAAAACGAAATGCTCAAATCTAAAAATCTGAATCAATCATATCAAGGATATGGGATCTTTAACCTATTAAAGGCACTTTTTTTGCTAAATTGGTGCCATCGTTTATTAAAGTGCTTTTTTGTTAATTTACACAATTTGTTTCATTTTTTCTTGCAGGATTATAATATGTTTTGTATGCTTTGTGGTAAAGGTTCCGATACAATCAGCATCAATCCAACAGACCCCAGGAAACAACAGACTCTTTTCTGAGACAGAGCTTCAAATGCACATTTTGTTAGGCATGTGACAGACAGTTGTGAAAGTAGTAGAATTGACTCAATATCCATGGTCGTTTTTTGTTTGTATTTGTTGGAAAGAAAATAATAGCTGCCTCATTCCATCAATTATTATTGAATGATTTATAATTTATTCATTGAAACATATTTTTAGCTCCGCTGTCGACTTTGTCGAGCGGAGCTTATCATATGAGTGATTGTCCGTCGTCGTCGTCCGTGTCAATGTTTTACTTTTTCGACTTCTTCTTGAAAACTACAAGCCTGAATGCTTTGATACTTGGTGTATATGTACCTTGGGTAGACCTCTCTTAGGTTTGTTCATTTCATGTTGATATCTTCAATTCTCTAATTTTGGTGAATATTTTTGTCATTTTTGGTAAAAAGTGATATTTTCGACTTCTTGTTAAAAACCGCAAGTCCAATTGCTTTGATATTACATATATAGGTACTACATGTGGACCTCTCTCAGATTTGTTCATTTTGTGATGATATCTTTAATTCTCTAATTTTGGTGAATATTTTTGTCATTTTTGGTAAAAAGTGATATTTTCGACTTCTTGTTAAAAACCGCAAGTGCAATTGCTTTGATATTACATATATAGGTACTACATGTGGACCTCTCTCAGAATTGTTCATTTTGTAATGATATCTTTAATTCTCTAATTTTGGTGAATATTTTTATCATTTTTGGTAAAAAGTGATATTTTCGACTTCTTGTTGCAAGTCCAATTGCTTTGATACTACATATATAGGTACTACATGTGGACCTCTCTCAGATTTGTTCATTTTGTGATGATATCTTCAATTCTCTAATTTTGGTGAATATTTTTGTAATTTTTGGTAAAAAGTGATATTTTCGACTTCTTGTTAAAAACCACAAGTCCGATTGCTTTGATATTACATATATAGGTACTACATGTGGACCTCTCTCAGATTTGTTCATTTTGTGATGATGTCTTCAATTCTCTAATTTTCGTGAATATTTTTGTAATTTTTGGTAAAAAGTGATATTTTCGACTTCTTGTTAAAAACCAATAGTTCAATTGCTTTGATATTACATATTTAGATACTACATGTAGACCTTTCTCAGATTTGTTCATTTCGTGATGATATCTTGGATTCTATAATTTTGGTGAATATTTTTGTCATATTTGGTAAAAAGTGATATTTTCGACTTCTTGTTAAAAACCAAAAGTTCAATTGCTTTGATATTACATATATAGATACTACATGTAGACCTTTCTCAGATTTGTTCATTTCGTGATGATATCTTCAATTCTCTAATTTTGGTGAATATTTTAGTCATTTTTGGTAGAAAGTGATATTTTCGACTTCTTGTTAAAAACTGTAAGTTCGATTGCTTTGATACTATACATATTGTTCATTTTCTGATGATGTCTTCAGTTCTTTAATTGAAATGTGCATTTCTAACAGCGGAGCTATCTCAGCCGATAGGCTGCTTGTTTAGGATATCCATGGCAATGGTATCGTTCCAACAATATGCTTTATTATGGCGTCTCTAAATACTGCTCTTTTATTTGAACCAATATACTGTCATACACCTTAATGTATATTTGATGAATATCAATGTAATCACTTCACTTCACTTTGGCCTGTTGCCCCTCCTGGAACATAGGCCATTGATGACAGTTCTCCAGCGTGTGCGATCCTGTGCTACAGTCTCAAGCTGTCCCCAGGTGGATCTTGAGCGCCTAACATCATCACTTCGTCTGATCTGTTCCTCTTTCACAGTATTCACTTTCAGAACCTTTGTCTTATCTTGGTGGATGATTAGACCAAATTTGGCAAAAGTTTTTGCTAAGTTGGTGGTTTTATCTTGCATCTGCTTGTGGTTATGGGACAGGAGGGCAATGTCATCAGCAAAGTCCAGGTCTTCAAGCTGTGTCCATAGTGTCCACTGGATAACATTTTTGTCATTTGTCACTTTTTTCATAATCCAGTCAATGACCAGCAGGAATAAAAATGGGGAGAGTAGGCAGCTTTCTTCCATGTACTACCCTGCATGTCATTCCCTCGTATGAGTTACGGATCATTCTGACAAACTTCAGGGGGACCCCATAGTGCCTAAGCAGCTTCCAAAGTGATTCTCTGTCTACACTGTCAAAGGCTTTCAGATAGTCCACAAAATTGATGTACAGGGAGGAGTTCCACTCTATGGACTGTTCAACTATGATCCTCAGTGTAGCAATGTGATCAGTACATGATCTGTCTTTACGGAAGCCTGCCTGGTGGTCACGCAGTTGTTGGTCAACCGGCCTTTTCAATCTCTCAAGTATAATCCTATTGAAGACCTTTCTTGCCATGTAGTGCATTATTTTTATTCCCATCTAAAGGCTACTAGGTGTGGCCAATGAGTTGTCAGGGTAACAAAGCAACAAAAACATCATTTTGTGGATTTTTAGCTCATGTTTCAAACTCCAAATTATCAGAAGAAAGTGAGCTAATTTCTTAAGCTGAAAAAATTCTGAGTAAACTGATCTAAGAATTCTCTTTTATAATCGGCTAACCAACCAGGATAGATGGAACATCTGTGTAGAAGGGTATAAAATAATTGCAAACAAAACAGTGATATGTTGAAATACTTGATAAGCCCAACACATTGTGTCGGTGTACCTGAATAACTCCTAAACGCAGGACATTTTAAATAATTTAAAGCAGTCAATCTTCATGGAGGTCAAGTTGTATTTACCATGTGATGGAGTACTGATAATTTCAAAAAATGTAATACAAGGGTGAGCAACATCATAACCACACCCTTTTCCCTTATATGCTATAAGTGTGGAATTTGAATGCATTTTATGTCCGTGAATCAACTGGTACATTGTTGCAGCTCCTAATACCCCCTTCCTCCATTGCACTTGTGGGTTTAGCACTTATGTTCTGTTGCACCCCCTTCCCCCCAAAACGTATACCGGTAATAAGTGACAGAAATATGCATCTCATTATACACCAAATGACATTTTAAAAAGGCTATCCATCCCTGAGACAACATTTCAAAATAACACTAGCTAGGTGGTTTTACTATATGTATTTGCTTGATGTGGCTTTTGCCATTTAATATCTAAACTTGGTAAAATACACAAGAATATTTTGCAGTTTTTTTATTAACGAATAAAACTTTTAAAGACATTATTGTAAATCACCGGAAAAACAAAGTGAAAAGAAAAAAATATAGCAAGCAGGGGTGTTATATCATATGTTCATCGTCAACACTCACACAATGCTTTTAATTAAGAATAACAAGTACATGCAGGTTTTCAATAAATTAGTCAATAAATACTCATTTATGACGTTTATTCATTATACAAGAATATTGGATAATATTTTTCCAACATTGTTTCTAAAATGCTGATGCTGATAGCTTTTTGAAATAAGAAGAAAAATATGTAATGGGAAAACTATATAGAGAGCAAGTAAGAGTTTAGTTGAGTGTATGTACATTGTATGTCTTGTGATACATGCATGCAAAGTCTCAAAGTGTATTACAGCTCAGGCAAATCTATGCAGCAGACTTGCGCAACCAAATGCATCAATAATACAAGTATGTGTGCATCAAAGTCCTATTGTGTTCAATGTATCTACTAAGTTTAAAGCGCGCCCCTTACCGAATTTTTGGTTCTGCCAGTGATTCCATCTTAAAGTGCAGCAGTCGTCGCGCTGCGCACGTGCGACATTTGTATTGATAAACATTGATTTTCCCACAATCCAATGTGCTCTTCAAATGGAAATCACAAGTACGAGGTTTGACCTGGGCTCGATTTCTTCGATGCCTTCCAATAACATGAAAATTACTTAATTAAAGCTTGGAAATGCCTCAGTTCGTACTCTTTGATCTGCGCAACAGTCAAAGTCGCCATCTTTGTTTATATGAGACCCATATATCTCGCACATGCGCAGCGCGTCGACTACCGCGCTTTAAACTAAATTCGTCCACAGTCCTGGAATGGTGACAATTTTCAAGCACTGTTGGCCTAAAATGGCTGTCATTCAGCCAGCCTGAATCAGATCATGAAACAAATGCATGTGCATATATGCATGATGTATGTGTGCAGTTTGAACTTGATTGGTTGATCACACTGACGAACAACTTAGCAAACAGCATGGGGGTCAATAATAAGTCCCTGTTTTTGGACTGCATTTGCAATCAGGGACAACTCAGCACTAATTATTGTAACAATTACCTGTTGCTAATATTGATTTTAATTCAAGTTCAAATACTAAAACTGTGGTGATATAATTTCACTATAATTTGATAACATTCGAAAATTTCTGCGACTCTGTGAAATTCGCAGGCAAAAGAAACACAAGATTCGCTTGGCACAAAATCACAATCCAGAAATCTTATGCATTAAACAAAAATTGTGCATTTCAATCTGCTGAAAGCTTCCACAGAAAATCATGGATTATGATATCTACCCGGTAGATTGTTTAAAAGAGCTCTAGCAGGCGATGCATATTTGTTTAATAATCAAAGATAGCACTCTTATGCAAATAGCTGCATTTGCATAACAAGATCAGCATAATTATGCTTTGAACTCTTGTTCATTTATTGTATGCAGCACAAGGCATGTATGCATCACCAGGCAATGTGCCAAAATGTTGGCACATCATAATGCTAAATATTATGCATTGTTTCTGTAGTTTTTTTTTTTTGGACATACATTTCTATTGGTTGCATGTCTTGAATAACAATCATGGGAAAATAGGGGGGAAATTATGTCTGTTTATTTTGAGAAAAGTGAGAAAAGTGGACTTTGGTGTGCAAAGTGTACAAAAAATATTAATCATGGATGAGAATTATCTTGTACAAAAGTTCAGTATACAAATTGTCATCATTTGACAATATCAGTTCATCTCATACATGTTGTATGTAGTTCTAGGTATTAACTTTGATGCCAGTTAAAATATAGCCACCTGTGCCACTCATATTCATCAGAGGATGTGTTCTCATCGGTAAAACCTGTGAAATAAACAGTAAATTTCATCTTGTTAGATGGTTCTACCCAGCTTAATGTTAAATATAAATAAAACTACTTGCATCGGTACATACATGTAGTTTATAAAGTCAGGTTATCATTGATCAACATTAGAAGTGACTGGAGCCTTTATCTATATCAAATTTTATTCATGATTGACACTGATGATATATGGAAGTAATAACAATACATTTAACACATCACTTTTCTGTTTGTTCACTCAGACAATCATTCAAACCACATAACATTAATTCCATGTATCTTTAGGGTTTTGCACTAGATTACAAACTAATTAAGGAAATATTCAATGGCCATACATTAAAAGATGCACAAATGGATTATTTAGTTCATATAGTAACTTACTTGGTATTCTCGTAACCAGGATTCTGTGATTTTCACATTAACAGTCTCTTTGGATTCCCGTATTTTCCCAAAACATTCATACAAAGGCTGCAATGTACAATATTTAGAATGAATGGTAGTGTGGACCATGTGACTGAATGGCAATGTGGACCATGTGACTGAAAGGCAATGTGGACCATGTGACTGAAAGGCAATGTGGACCATGTGACTGAAAGGCAATGTGGACCATGTGACTGGATGGCAATGTGGACCATGTGACTGGACGGCAATGTGGACCATGTGACTGGACGGCAATGTGGACCATGTGACTGGACGGCAATGTGGACCATGTGACTGAACGGCAATGTGGACCATGTGACTGGACGACAATGTGGACCATGTGACTGGACGGCAATGTGGACCATGTGACTGAATGGCAATGTGGGCCATGTGACTGAATGGCAATGTGGACCATGTGACTGAATGGCAATGTGGACCATGTGAATGAATGGCAATGTGGACCATGTGAATGAATGGCAATGTGGACCATGTTACTGACATTGGACCATGTGACTAAGAGTGTGGACCATTTGGCTGCATGGCAGTGTGGACCATGTGACTGAATGGCAATGTGGACCATGTGACTGACATTGTGGACCATGTGACTATAAGTGTGGACCATTTGGCTGCATGGCAGTGTGGACCATGTGACTTACTGGCAGTGTGGACCATGTGACTTTCTGGCAGTGTGGATCATGTGACTGGCATTGTGAACCATGTGCCTTGCAGTATGGACCATGTGAGTACATGGCAGCAGCATGAAATGATGTCAAACACACATTACTATACTTGCATTAACCAGATCTTGGTACACGTGAAAGGACGACAATTTGTAACACAATATCATACAATAGTCACCAGGTTTCACTGGATATAAATGCTAATGTGCATCTTACCTCTATGAGTTGACAAAAC